AACTGCAATTTTTTAGAAACCACATTACATGATTATTTTCCATTAAGTTTTTTTTAATGTTTATTTATTTTTGAGAGAGAGAGAGAGCACAGGCTAGGGGCAGAGAGAGAGCGACACACAGCATCTGAAGTAGGCTCCAGGGTCTGAACTGCCAGCACAGAGCCCGATGCAGGGCTTGAACTAGTGAACTGTGAGATTGTGACCTGAGCTGAGGTCCACTGCTTAACCGGCTGAGCCAACCAGGCGTCCCTATGCCTTTCCATTTTTATTCTGTTAGTGATGGTAGTAATTCTGATCACTATCTTTGAAAACATTTTGTGTGCCTTTTGGTTATTTGGGATCTTGGCTCCTTAGCTCTGCTTTAATATTATTCCCGTGGAGAAAATAGGTTACTGCATGAACCTATTCCCCAGGGAGACACAATTCCCCAGGGAGACACATTGTATTTTATTTCTTAATTTTAAAATAAAAGGGCCTTAAGAAGATGAATGTACTGGACTTTAAAGGTCCATTTTGCTTTTAATTTAATCTAATAGCCAATGAAATTATAAAGTAAATATACGATATCTTTATTCTGCAGAATCTTGAGGATTTCAGCTAGTTTCTCAAAGGCTATTGCTATAGAAGAATTTAGGAAGTCTCTAAATTCAATGAAACAAGCCTTGAAAGACAAAGTGAGGAAGCAGCCAAAAGAGACAAAGAGGGATCTTGCTAAGGACACAGATTGTGAAACAATACAGAATAAAAAATAAATTAGAAGCAACAAGAAATTGAAAACCCCGTTCCTGACATAGAGGAAGTCTTGAGATAATCACACAAATGGAGAGAAATTAGACAAATATTACTGTAGTTATCAAGAAGATCTATCTAGAGTGTGAGGATCCAGTAAGAATGGATATGGAGTAGAAAAATCAATAAGTAGAACAATAAAAATGTTCTAAGATATAATATGGGAAAATTATAAAATATATCTTCAGATTGAAAGATTTCTTAACAATCACAGCAGACAAATCCAATTGTCTGATCCTTCTGGCTTCTGATTTCTCTGGAGCAATATTCAAAGCAACAAGACAACGGGCATGCTGTATTTCAATTACATTTGATCTCTTTTATTGGCTTATTGGTTCTAACTCTTTGTGTTGTTATTTTAGTGGTAGCTTTAGGGTTTACAGTATGTATCTTTAACTTATCACAGTCTTCTTTCAAGTGATATGATACCATTTCATGTGATGTATCAGAACTTTACAACACTATCCTTCCATTTCTCTCCAGGCTTTGTGCTTTGTCCAGAGACATTGTACTTCTATAAAAACCATAATATGTTGATGTTATTTTGCCTTAAACAGCCACTTGTCCTTTAAAGAAGTTTAAATAATATGAAAAAAAAATCCTTATTCTTACCCATGCCGTTACCATTCCCGGTGGTGTTCATTCCTTTGTGTCTTGCATCATATTCCTTCTGCTCAAAGGAATTTCTTTAACATTTTTTATAGTGTAGGTGAGTTATTGATAAATTTGTTCAAATTGTGTACGCATGGAAAAAGTACTTCACCTCTGCTTTTGAAACATAGCTTTGTTGGATAGAGGCCTAGGTTGGTAGTTTTGTCTTTCAGTAACTTACATATATTCCTTCATTGTCTTTCATCTTACATCATTTCCAAAAATACGCTGTAATCCGCATCTTTGTTCCTCTGTACACAATGTGGTATTTTCTCTGACTTCTCTTAAGATTTTCTCTTTAGTCTTGGTTTAAGCAATTTAATTATAATAATGTTTGGTAGTTAATAAATTTCTTGGTGAAGGAGCCAAAATGGCACATGGAAGTTTTTTTGTGTGTCTCACATCCATGAAATACAGCCAGACCAACACTAAACCATCCTGCACACCTAGAAAACTATCTGAGGATTAACACAATAATCTGCACAATCTGAACCACAGAATTCAGCAGGTGTGTGGCACAGAGAGGTGAACTGGGGGAAAGAGAAGACACGGAGGGCAGGGAGCCGCTTTTGCATGCAGAAAGAGGACAGAGATGGGGTGGGAGAAGAATATGGGAAAAGCACTCCCCCCCCCCCCGAAAGCAGCTGGAGAGAAAGTGGAAACAGCCACAGGGACTGAACAAAAAAGGGAGAAAGGAGAAAGGAGAGGGTTTAAATTCTATTAATATTCTAAAAACAGGGGTAGTGCAGAGCCTGAAACTCTGCCACTCAATACCTGGTGGTGTTGTCATGGGAAGGGCAAATCCCCAGGAGCAGAGAGCAAGGTCCTCAGGGTCATCAGGCCTCATGGAGGAGAGGTGGTTCTCCTGATGGAAGGACATATGGTAGATGTAGGGTAGCCAACCCACAGGAAAAGTTCCCAGTGGACCCCAGAGAACAACCACATTTGGTGGTGCTGGAACAAGGACGTTAAATGGCAAGTCTGGTGCCAGATGTGTGTTGTGATGTACCATAATCCCTGAATCGCTGCCACTCCACGATCACGTGAACTTTCTCTGGGGTGGGTTGGCACCCAGCCACAGTCTCTGGGCATCAGCAGCAGCATGGTCTTGAGAATGTTCCCGGGGACAGGTGGGCACCTGGCCCTTGCTCAGTGAGACCCTCCCCCCAAAGGTCTGAGCGGGTCAAGACTGCAGTTCCTCAGAAGTGAGGGGATGGGAAACAGCTGCATCTGAGATAAAACTCAGGAGGGATGTGCTGCCTGGCAAGCTGATGGCTTAGTCATGGACAATAAAAGTGGGGAGCAGATGGAAGCTGGAGACAAAGGAGGGATACGCGATTGCTGGTCAGAGCACAGAGTTCTAATAGTAGAGACTGGGAAGCTGGGTGATGCCATTTTCACCCCTCCCGTGCATGTGCATACACACCACTAGACTCCACAACAATCTACCCCAGTAAGCTAAGCAGCACCATCTGGTGGAGAATGGAGCCATTACAGTAAGCCCTGCCCATCTGGGCCAACCTCACTATTCAGAAACACCACAAGTCTCTCCATCCTTTCATTTTATTCTATTGCATTGTATTCATTTTTCAAATTTCCAATCATTTTCTTTTTTTCCTTTCTTTTCTCATCTTTCCCTTTTTTCTGTAATCAAGCTCCTTTCAACAACCAAACCAGAACACACCTCGGATATAGCATCCTTTATTTGATTTTTTATGTGTTGTTTTTAATTTTTTAATTTTAATTTTTTTAACTTATTAATTCCTTTTCTTCTTTCAAAATGACAAAATGAAGGAATTCAGCCCAAAAGAAAGAACACGAAGAAATGACAGCCAGGGTCTTAACACAGATACAGGCAAGATGTCTGAACCAGAATTTAGAATATTAATAATAATACTAGCTGGGGTTGAAAACAGATTAGAATTCCTTTCTGCGGAGATAAAACCGAGTCAGGATGAAATAAAAAATGCTATAAGTGAACTGTAATCTCGAATGGATGCCACAGTGGCAAGGACAGATGAGGCAGAGCAGCGAATCCGAGATATAGAGGACAAACTTATGGAGAACAATGAAGCATAAAAAAAGAGGGAGACCAAGGCAAAAGAGCACGATTTAGGAATTAGAGAAATCAGCAACTCATTAAAAAGGAACAACATCATAATCACAGGGGTCCCAGAAGATGAAGAAAGCAAAGGGCGTAGAAGGATTAGGTGAGCAAATCCTA